GCCGCCGGGTTCTCCGCCTGTCTTCAAGGCGCGTTACGTGGCTCGAGGCTTCAGTCAGCGAGAGGGAGTTGACCTTCTCCCCCACCCCGAAGATGACCACTCTTCGGGTGCTGCTGCATGTTGCTGCTCACCGTGACTACGAGCTTCACTCTCTTGACTTCAGCACAGCTTTCTTGCAGGGCAGCTTGCACGAGGAGATCTGGCTGCGTCGCCCCCCGGGCTTCACTGGGTCGTTCCCTCCTGGCACCCAGTGGAGCCTCCGGTGGCCGGTCTACGGTCTCCGCCAGGCGCCACGTGAGTGGCACGACACACTGAGGACTACGCTTGCGGCTCTTGGGTTCGCGCCTTCTACTGCTGACCCGTTGCTGTTTCTGCGCACCGACACTTCACTGCCGCCGTTCTACATCCTCGTGTACGTCGACGACTTGGTTTTTGCCACTGCTGACACTGAGGCTCTCGCCCACGTGAAGTCGGAGCTGCAGAAGAGACACACGTGCACAGACTTGGGTGAGCTGCGCAGCTACCTTGGCTTGCAGAGCACGCCGCACCATCACCTTGACTCAGTCACACATGGTGCAGCAGGTCCTTCAGCGCTTCGGCTTCACCTGGTCTTCAGCACAGGCCACTCCTCTGGCTACAGGTCACTTGCTCTCAGCTCCACCTTCGGACGAGTCCGTAGAGCCGAGTGGTCCTTACCCAGAGCTAGTCGGCTGCCTCATGTACCTGATGACTTGCACTCGACCTGACCTCGCGTACCCTCTTGGTCTTCTGGCTCGCTACATGGCTCCTGGTCGGCACCGACCTGAGCACATGGCTGCTGCTAAGAGGGTACTGCGCTACTTGTGCAGCACATCAGGCATGGGGCTAGTGCTTGGAGGGACGAGCCCAGTTGTCCTCACTGGGCACTCAGACGCTTCTTGGGTTGACGACCTGGCTACTCAGCGGTCGTCACAGGGTTACACCTTCAGCCTTGGCTCTGGTTCAGTTTCGTGGCGTTCTACACGCTTGTCTTCAGTTCTCAGCTCCAGTTGTGAGGCTGAGATCTACGCCACAGCCATGGCTGCACAGGAGCTACGCTGGCTCACCTACCTGCTGACTGACTTGGGAGAGCAGCCTCGTTCTCCTCCAGTGCTGTACGTCGACAACAAGGCCGCCATTGCCTTGTGTGAGGAGCACAGACTGGAGCACAGAACGAAGCACATTGCTCTGCGTTACTTCCTGGCTCGAGAGTTGCAGCAGCGAGGCCAGCTTCGTCTTCGTCACGTGGCCACTCGGGCCAACACTGCTGATATATTCACCAAGGCACTTCCGTCTGGTGATCATCAGCGCTTTTGTACCCTGTTAGGCCTTGTGCCTACGTTTCCACACTTGCTGTAGTCTCTGCTTGTACTGTGATCTATATATATATACATGCATGCCTGCTCTTGCTAGGTAGTCATCACTGTACTGTTATTGTTGTATATATATCTCTGCATGTGGACTGGCCTTGTGGCCCTTTGCTTGTGCTCAGAATGTGTGGTGACGTTGAGATCCACCCTGAGCTTGCTTTGCTTCTCTTGACTGGTCGTTTGACCCCTTGTTCTCCCCCACTTTGCCTATGGGGGTGTGTCAAACATATATGCTGCATATTGTCTAGGCTGTAGTGGGGTAGCCCATATGGGGTACAGCCCAATTAGGGTTTACTACTTGTACTCCTGCATGCTGCTAGTTCATCCATTCCTGCTGCTAGATTCTGACATTTCGATCGCACCAAAATCACGCTGGTGAAAGGTTGTTGTCAGTACTCTCTCACCTCCATCCTCCGTGTGCTTTTCGTGGTCCAATAGAAGCACGCGGTACCGATCTCCCCCTCCGTTCCGCATCCGCTGCTTCAGCTGCCCCATCTCTCCACCGGCGTCCGTCTTCGGAGCGCCGTCCGCTCCTCCTGATTGGTCCAACCCCGGCCGCTCCAGCACCGACGCTCCTCCGAACGAGCTGCCGAGCCTACCGCGCAAGCGAACGCCCTGAGAGTCCATGCGAACGGCTAGTGACGCCATCGCAGCATGAGAATCTGCGTGGCTCGACTGCGTGACTGTGGAATGGTTGGTGGTCGTGGCCAGTCTATGGGGGAGAGCGGACGCGGTGACAGTCGTGGCGACTGAAGCAACTGATGCCATGATCACGTGAAACGGAGAGCTCCTTGTGACCTGACGATGCGCGAAGTGCAAACGATGCGCTGCGTTTGGCGAATTCGCAGTGAAGGTCTCGAGGCCCTACGGCACGAGAGTGCTTACGAGGTCAGGACGTACGCAATTGACAGCGGGCGGTGGAAAGTGCGGGGAGAAAGGTAGGTCAAGTCAATGCTCGCAAGCCAAGACGAGAAATGATCACAAGGAGAAATCGAACACAGCTGGAGACCAGAAAGCAGAAGGGGGACGAAATCAGGGTGCGAGCGAAGCAGACGAGGGTGGACGAATTTCCGCGACCTCCATAACATGTCTCGCGAACCAAAGGAGTTGCCAGCTGGACCGTCGAGAAAGCGCGACCTGAAGTGGCAGCACGAATGAGTGCCAGGTGTACTTTGCTGTTGGAGGCGCGTGAACCTTCCCAAAACCGGAGAGCCAGGAGTCCTTCCCACTATGTCGTGCGCCAATACAAAATACAATCTATATTACATGGAACAAGAATTTAATCAGACAACCCTTCCGCTTTTACATAACCTCTTGTACAAAGGGGAAATAAGAAGCAATGGAAGACCACCCACCAGTCTCGACCACCGAGTTCTTAGGATCCAACCTCTCACCGCCTCCACCTCAATCGCTTGAACAAGCTCAGCATCCGCTGCTGATCCGGCACGCGCAATGGATGGGGATAATAAAAGCCTCCCCATGACCACATCGTCCCAGTGCTGCCGCTGGCGTTTGATAAGATCTTCCCTGTCGGAGGACCAAGGGAATTGAGACAATTCTCTGTCGTCTTTTTCTGTTATGCTTCCACTTCTGTCACTGCCTTTGAAGTTGTCATGTAGCTTAGTATCACATCCACTATTGTCACCCTTGCTGGTGCCTTCTGCAAAGGCTCCGGCCCTACTCAAACTTCCCTTCCTTCTCCAGACTGTCATACAGTCGTGTGTCCCTGGCCAATTGGGAAGAGCCACGTGTTCAACCAGCACCCATTCCTTGTCCAGAAGGGAGAGAAACCGCGGGCCGGCGGTTTGCGGCTGGTATGAGGGCGACTGAGAAGAGTGTGACTGTAGGGAACGGTCACTTGAATGTGCTTGTAGGAAGTGAAGTGGCAGTTCCCCAACGAACACCACAGTGGAACCCCTGTAGTGGAGTAACGCGTCAGCTGCTAATGATGGCGCCTCAGCAGCTGATGCTGATTGCCCCTTTGCTGCTCCCTCTGCAGCTCCTGCTTCTGCCCCTGCTGCTGCCCCTGCTGCTGCTCCTGCTGCTGCCCCTGCTGCTGCTGCTGATTCTCCTCCTCCACTTGCTGTTGCTGCATCGGATGTTTCCACTTCTTCCGGAGGAGGCCAACACAACAGCAATGAACGGTCAGGATGCAGCGCAGACACAGAAGCATCTCCCTCTGAGGAAATCAGGGTGCGCATGAACGAGGTGTCAGAAAGGGGGGTTAAACGGTTAAGGTGAGTAAAAGGTTGATTTGAGAGAGCAGCTGTGATTCAGTGACCAGCAATAGATAGACGCTGTAGAAACAAACGCTACAAGAGGGGTGTTCACGCTCACCAGACACATGGGTGAAAGGCGGCACGTTAACTAGCTGACTTGCAGATGCCATGGGAAGGGCATGGTGCCCGTTCACCCGGCTGCTAACACCGTTGCTGTTGCTGTCACTACTACTGCCATTGCTGCTGCTGCTGCTGGTGCATCCAGCATTGTCCATTGGCGTCCAATCATAAGCTGCCACGTCAACACCTCGCCTCCTTAGAAGTGCAGCCCAATAACCCGTTCCTGCGCCCACCTGTCATGATTGTGGTGGGCATTGAACGAACAATGACATGACTGTGATGAGCATTGAACGAACAATGACACGACTGTGATGAGCATTGAACGAACAATGACACGACTGTGATGAGCATTGAACGAACAATGACACGACTGTGATGAGCATTGAACGAACAATGACACGACTGTGATGAGCATTGAACGAACAATGACATGACTGTGATGAGCATTGAACGAACAATGACACGACTGTGATGAGCATTGAACGAACAATGACACGCCATGACTCCTTCAGAGACGCCTAATAGTCAAGCAGCAGTACAGGCCAGCTGTTATGGCGGTGGTCACATGGGCGGTCAGCAACACGCACTAATGCCGCAATAATCCATGCATTCAATGGAACGCCAGGAAACAACCTCAATCACACTCCCCCTTGTGCCACTCCCCATCGCTCACCTCCACCACCCCCGTCCCTCCTGCTGCAGGATCTTTTTGAGAACTCTAAAAAAATTCCTGCAACCTCAATCACACCCCCCTTGTGCCACTCCCCACCGCTCACCTCCACCACCCCCGTCCCTCCTGCAGCCGCCTTCACAGCTGCCAGCGCTGCCTCTGTGGGTACGGCCCTGTGGGGCGCAGGGGGACAGGGACGCAGTACCGGAGGAGAAAATTGGCGCATGGGCGGGAGTGCGGAAGGGCGGAAGGGCGGAGAGGCGGAGCGGAGGGAAGATACGAATAGAAGGTTTGGTAGTTCCTGCTCTATGAAGTGATGTGTTGTCCACTTTATAGGCTGCTTCACCTCCCGATTCCGGTTGGACAACAGCGTACCAAGCGCACATTCTGCGCAGTGGAGTGATGTAGAGGTGAATGTAGGGCACGAGCAGAAACCGCAGCCGCAGCAGAGTGAAGGCTTTATCTAGTGGCAGCTAGTAGCCTTGGGTTGGGAGCTACCATACAGCGGCATACCATGCATATATCATGCGCAGCGGCGCGATGTTCAGATCAATGTAGGGCACGAGCAGCAACCAGGGAGTGAATCCTCTGTTTAGTGGCAACATGGGAGCTACCATACCGTACGACATACCAGGCGTATACTCTGCGCAGCGGAGCGATGTTGAGGTCAATGTAGGGCACGAGAAGAGGGTTCAGCGGCGCTGCTTCCCTTTCCCCCTCTCCGCCACTCTCCGCCCGTTTTCCCCCGACCAGAGCTTCCCCCCCGAGCGCGCAGAACTCCGCCGTGCGCTGGCGGAAGAGGCGCAGGTATTCCATGTCTGGCGCTAACGGCGCGCCGTCTGTACGCGATAAAAGGCCATCGCGTGGATCCGCGCGAACAGGCGGCGACTTTGGAAGGAGCAAGCGGACGAGGAGGCGGCGAATCATGACGAGCGGTCGGATGACGCAATGGCGGCGGCGAAATGCTGGCGAGATGACGGCGAAAACTGTTGGCGAGGTGACGGCGAAATTACAAGCTTTTCAGCCCTGACCCTAGAGCCAGTCAGGGATAGGGATACGGCAGCATGATAGCCGCGAATGAATAGCTCGGTCGGCTTTTGAGTCGACTCAAAAGCATACCAATGGAAAATTTGATCACCTGCCAGGAAAATTGACTCCAAGCAGGCGATGGAAATGCAGGGGCGACAATTTAGTTGCCCGATACGCGTTATGAAGTAGCACCGTAAAAGTTGTGATAAAACGCAATCCCAAAGCGTTTGAAACTTGTCTTATGCACATCAGAACATCTCAACAAAATGGAATTAACCCTTTTTCGCAGCCCCACACCCGCAACGCAACCATAGCATCTGCCGTTCACCCCACAGCATTCTTGAGGCTCATTTCTTGTGCCGTCCCACACCCATCCATGACGGCCTATAAACCACGATCGTAGGGTCGCTTCGCACGCAACGCATCGCAACGCCACGCAGCGCAGCGAAGGCAGTCCGGTAGTAGGAGTATCAGCGAAGACGTTGCTATCCATCCCGTTCGCCGTCTGCGTGAGGCAATTCTAGCTCTGAGCCTCCTTTTACGAAGTTAATGTTAATTACGCTTTCGTGAGCTCAGCCTTTGTTGCGACTTATTAGAGCCTGTGCAGCCGTTAAGAGCGTCATGCCTGCTGCAGTCACTACTAATGGGGATGACGCCACTAGGACAGGTGCGGCTACTAACGAGGATGAGGCCACTAAAGCCGTTCTCGAGTCGCTCGGCGATCTCCCACCCACCTCCTTCCTCGCACCTTCCTCGGACCTTTCGCAGCAGCTTCGCACCGCCGTGAAGGCGCTCTTCGACTCCGGAATGTCCAACCTGGACGCCGCGAAGGGCGCCGCATCCGACGCCGCATCTGGCGGAGGAAAAAAAGGAGCGTCCGGGTTTACGAAATCCCAGTCGTTAGTCCCGGAGAGGAAGCTTCCTGGGCTCTTCGTGGACGGATTCGATTCCGAGCAGATCTGGTGCCAGCTGGACCTCGCTTTGGCGCCGACTCTTCCCCGCATTCGGCGGCGGCTGAAGCGGGCGGAGGAGCTCACGGAAGGGAAGGCGGTAGTTCGGGGGGAGGAGTTTTTTAGGGTTCCGAAGCTTGTCAGGGGGAAAGGCGGAAAGGGGAAAGGTGGACAAGTGGGGAGGGAGGGAAAGGGGAAGGAGATGGAGGAGAAGGGGGGGAAGTGGGGGGAGGGGGGAAAGGAGTGGGAGGGGGAAGAAGGGGGAGGGGACGAGGAGGGGAGTGATGAAGACGAACGGGTACAGGGTTTAGGGTTGGGGGGTTTGGAAGGGGAGAGTGGAGAGGAGGGAGATGAGGGAGGATTGATGGGTTCTGAGGAGGGGGGTGAGGATGGAGAGGAAGACGAGGATGAATTGGCTTTGATGGAAGAGATCAAGAAAGTGAGGAGAGAGGAGGAAGAGGAGGAGGGTGAGGGAGAGGAGGAGGATGGGGAGGAGGAGGATGAGGAGGGAGCGTTTGATGCACTCTACAGGTCAGGGTCGCCTGGTGGGGGGGAGGAGGAGGAGAGCGAGGAGGGGGATGATGGAGACGAGGTAAGGTGCAATGGGATGGGATGGATGGAAGGATGGGTGGATGGGAAGGGATGGGGAGGAGGATGAGGAGGGGGCGTTTGAGGCGCTTTACAGGTCAGGGTCTCCTGGTGAGGGGGGGAAGGAGGAGGGGGAAGAGGATGACGGAGAGGAGGTAAGTGACATTGGGACATGATGATGGGAGGGGGGGGAGGAGGACGAGGAGGATGACGGGGATGAGGTGATTGACACTGGGAGATGATGGATGGATGGGAAGGGTTGGGGAGGGATGGGGAGGGATGGGGAGGGATGGGGAGGGATGGGGAGGGGTGGTGAGGGAGGGGAAGGGATGCGTGTGCGTGTTTCGATTATTCATGAGAAGTGTTGAAGAATGAACTGCAACAAAAGTCCGCTGCTGTCGCTATATGTGTGGCATGTGTGGCATGTTCATGCATGTGTGTGTCTATGTATGCGGCATGTGCATGTGTGCATATATGCTGTTGTGCGTGTGCAGGGAGTGTGGAAGAAGGCTCAAAAAAAGAAGGCACTCCTAGATGGCTCCATGATCAGGTGAGCTGTGAACCTTGGGTTTATGGAGGGGGGGAAGAAGGAGATTGAGCTTCATGAACTTGCATTATGCAAGTGAGGCGAGGGTATTCTATTTCCCTCGCCTCATCATCCCTCTACCTCGTGATCCCTCTACCTCGTGATCCCTCTACCTCGTGATCCCTCTACCTCGTGATCCCTCTACCTCGTGATCCCTCTACCTCGTGATCCCTCTACCTCGTGATCCCTCTACCTCGTGATCCCTCTACCTCGTGATCCCTCTACCTCGTGATCCCTCTACCTCGTGATCCCTCTACCTCGTGATCCCTCTACCTCGTGATCCCTCTACCTCGTGATCCCTCTACCTCGTGATCCCTCTACCTCGTGATCCCTCTACCTCGTGATCCCTCTACCTCGTGATCCCTCTACCTCGTGATCCCTCTACCTCGTGATCCCTCTACCTCGTGATCCCTCTACCTCGTGATCCCTCTACCTCGTGATCCCTCTACCTCGTGATCCCTCTACCTCGTGATCCCTCTACCTCGTGATCCCTCTACCTCGTGATCCCTCTACCTCGTGATCCCTCTACCTCGTGATCCCTCTACCTCGTGATCCCTCTACCTCGTGATCCCTCTACCTCGTGATCCCTCTACCTCGTCATCCCTCTACCTCGTCATCCCTCTACCTCGTCATCCCTCTACCTCGTCATCCCTCTACCTCGTCATCCCTCTACCTCGTCATCCCTCTACCTCGTCATCCCTCTACCTCGTCATCCCTCTACCTCGTCATCCCTCTACCTCGTCATCCCTCTACCTCGTGATCCCTCTACCTCGTGATCCCTCTACCTCGTGATCCCTCTACCTCGTCATCCCTCTACCTCGTCATCCCTCTACCTCGTGATCCCTCTACCTCGTGATCCCTCTACCTCGTGATCCCTCTACCTCGTGATCCCTCTACCTCGTGATCCCTCTACCTCGTGATCCCTCTACCTCGTGATCCCTCTACCTCGTGATCCCTCTACCTCGTGATCCCTCTACCTCGTGATCCCTCTACCTCGTGATCCCTCTACCTCGTGATCCCTCTACCTCGTGATCCCTCTACCTCGTGATCCCTCTACCTCGTCATCCCTCTACCTCGTCATCCCTCTACCTCGTCATCCCTCTACCTCGTCATCCCTCTACCTCGTGATCCCTCTACCTCGTGATCCCTCTACCTCGTCATCCCTCTACCTCGTCATCCCTCTACCTCGTCATCCCTCTACCTCGTCATCCCTCTACCTCGTCATCCCTCTACCTCGTCATCCCTCTACCTCGTCATCCCTCTACCTCGTCATCCCTCTACCTCGTCATCCCTCTACCTCGTCATCCCTCTACCTCGTCATCCCTCTACCTCGTCATCCCTCTACCTCGTCATCCCTCTACCTCGTCATCCCTCTACCTCGTCATCCCTCTACCTCGTCATCCCTCTACCTCGTGATCCCTCTACCTCGTGATCCCTCTACCTCGTGATCCCTCTACCTCGTGATCCCTCTACCTCGTGATCCCTCTACCTCGTGATCCCTCTACCTCGTGATCCCTCTACCTCGTGATCCCTCTACCTCGTGATCCCTCTACCTCGTGATCCCTCTACCTCGTGATCCCTCTACCTCGTGATCCCTCTACCTCGTCATCCCTCTACCTCGTCATCCCTCTACCTCGTCATCCCTCTACCTCGTCATCCCTCTACCTCGTCATCCCTCTACCTCGTCATCCCTCTACCTCGTCATCCCTCTACCTCGTCATCCCTCTACCTCGTCATCCCTCTACCTCGTCATCCCTCTACCTCGTCATCCCTCTACCTCGTGATCCCTCTACCTCGTGATCCCTCTACCTCGTCATCCCTCTACCTCGTCATCCCTCTACCTCGTGATCCCTCTACCTCGTGATCCCTCTACCTCGTGATCCCTCTACCTCGTGATCCCTCTACCTCGTGATCCCTCTACCTCGTGATCCCTCTACCTCGTGATCCCTCTACCTCGTGATCCCTCTACCTCGTGATCCCTCTACCTCGTGATCCCTCTACCTCGTGATCCCTCTACCTCGTGATCCCTCTACCTCGTGATCCCTCTACCTCGTCATCCCTCTACCTCGTCATCCCTCTACCTCGTCATCCCTCTACCTCGTCATCCCTCTACCTCGTCATCCCTCTACCTCGTCATCCCTCTACCTCGTCATCCCTCTACCTCGTCATCCCTCTACCTCGTCATCCCTCTACCTCGTCATCCCTCTACCTCGTCATCCCTCTACCTCGTCATCCCTCTACCTCGTCATCCCTCTACCTCGTCATCCCTCTACCTCGTCATCCCTCTACCTCGTCATCCCTCTACCTCGTCATCCCTCTACCTCGTCATCCCTCTACCTCGTCATCCCTCTACCTCGTCATCCCTCTACCTCGTCATCCCTCTACCTCGTCATCCCTCTACCTCGTCATCCCTCTACCTCGTCATCCCTCTACCTCGTGATCCCTCTACCTCGTGATCCCTCTACCTCGTGATCCCTCTACCTCGTGATCCCTCTACCTCGTGATCCCTCTACCTCGTGATCCCTCTACCTCGTGATCCCTCTACCTCGTCATCCCTCTACCTCGTCATCCCTCTACCTCGTCATCCCTCTACCTCGTCATCCCTCTACCTCGTCATCCCTCTACCTCGTCATCCCTCTACCTCGTCATCCCTCTACCTCGTCATCCCTCTACCTCGTCATCCCTCTACCTCGTCATCCCTCTACCTCGTGATCCCTCTACCTCGTGATCCCTCTACCTCGTGATCCCTCTACCTCGTGATCCCTCTACCTCGTGATCCCTCTACCTCGTGATCCCTCTACCTCGTGATCCCTCTACCTCGTGATCCCTCTACCTCGTGATCCCTCTACCTCGTGATCCCTCTACCTCGTCATCCCTCTACCTCGTCATCCCTCTACCTCGTCATCCCTCTACCTCGTCATCCCTCTACCTCGTCATCCCTCTACCTCGTGATCCCTCTACCTCGTGATCCCTCTACCTCGTGATCCCTCTACCTCGTGATCCCTCTACCTCGTGATCCCTCTACCTCGTCATCCCTCTACCTCGTCATCCCTCTACCTCGTCATCCCTCTACCTCGTCATCCCTCTACCTCGTCATCCCTCTACCTCGTCATCCCTCTACCTCGTCATCCCTCTACCTCGTCATCCCTCTACCTCGTCATCCCTCTACCTCGTCATCCCTCTACCTCGTCATCCCTCTACCTCGTCATCCCTCTACCTCGTCATCCCTCTACCTCGTGATCCCTCTACCTCGTGATCCCTCTACCTCGTGATCCCTCTACCTCGTGATCCCTCTACCTCGTGATCCCTCTACCTCGTGATCCCTCTACCTCGTGATCCCTCTACCTCGTGATCCCTCTACCTCGTGATCCCTCTACCTCGTGATCCCTCTACCTCGTGATCCCTCTACCTCGTGATCCCTCTACCTCGTCATCCCTCTACCTCGTCATCCCTCTACCTCGTCATCCCTCTACCTCGTCATCCCTCTACCTCGTCATCCCTCTACCTCGTCATCCCTCTACCTCGTCATCCCTCTACCTCGTCATCCCTCTACCTCGTCATCCCTCTACCTCGTCATCCCTCTACCTCGTCATCCCTCTACCTCGTCATCCCTCTACCTCGTCATCCCTCTACCTCGTCATCCCTCTACCTCGTCATCCCTCTACCTCGTGATCCCTCTACCTCGTGATCCCTCTACCTCGTGATCCCTCTACCTCGTGATCCCTCTACCTCGTGATCCCTCTACCTCGTGATCCCTCTACCTCGTGATCCCTCTACCTCGTGATCCCTCTACCTCGTGATCCCTCTACCTCGTGATCCCTCTACCTCGTGATCCCTCTACCTCGTGATCCCTCTACCTCGTCATCCCTCTACCTCGTCATCCCTCTACCTCGTCATCCCTCTACCTCGTCATCCCTCTACCTCGTCATCCCTCTACCTCGTCATCCCTCTACCTCGTCATCCCTCTACCTCGTCATCCCTCTACCTCGTCATCCCTCTACCTCGTGATCCCTCTACCTCGTGATCCCTCTACCTCGTCATCCCTCTACCTCGTCATCCCTCTACCTCGTCATCCCTCTACCTCGTCATCCCTCTACCTCGTCATCCCTCTACCTCGTCATCCCTCTACCTCGTCATCCCTCTACCTCGTCATCCCTCTACCTCGTCATCCCTCTACCTCGTCATCCCTCTACCTCGTCATCCCTCTACCTCGTGATCCCTCTACCTCGTGATCCCTCTACCTCGTGATCCCTCTACCTCGTGATCCCTCTACCTCGTCATCCCTCTACCTCGTCATCCCTCTACCTCGTGATCCCTCTACCTCGTGATCCCTCTACCTCGTGATCCCTCTACCTCGTGATCCCTCTACCTCGTCATCCCTCTACCTCGTCATCCCTCTACCTCGTCATCCCTCTACCTCGTCATCCCTCTACCTCGTCATCCCTCTACCTCGTCATCCCTCTACCTCGTCATCCCTCTACCTCGTCATCCCTCTACCTCGTCATCCCTCTACCTCGTCATCCCTCTACCTCGTGATCCCTCTACCTCGTGATCCCTCTACCTCGTCATCCCTCTACCTCGTCATCCCTCTACCTCGTCATCCCTCTACCTCGTCATCCCTCTACCTCGTCATCCCTCTACCTCGTCATCCCTCTACCTCGTCATCCCTCTACCTCGTCATCCCTCTACCTCGTCATCCCTCTACCTCCCCGAGAGCCATCTGGATTTGTGCTGCTCGCAGGTATGAGGACTTTTTTTGGAGGAAGGCGCCAGAGAGCCACCTGGAGGCGGACGAGGAGGAGCTTCATGCCTTCCCCACTGCCTTGCTCGCTTTTGTTTCTTTCCCTTGCCTTTTGATCCCTGCCGTGCAGATACGAGGACTTTTTCGGGAGGAAGGCGCCCGAGAGTCACCTGGAGGCGGATAGGGCAATGAGGGGCGAAGAGGAGGAGGATGTTGAAGATGTTGAGGTGGAGGAGTGGGAGGGGGAGGAGGAGGAGGAGGAGGAGGAGGAGGAGGATGAGGGAGTGGATGACGAGGAGGGGGAGGGTGATGATGAGGGAGAGGAAGAGGGAAGGGAGGAAGGAGGGGAGGAGGGGAAGGCGGTTGTAGCGAGAAGGAAGAAGGGATTATTGGATGAGGAGGAGGAGGGTGGAGAGGAGGAGGATGAGGAGGTGAGTGAAAAATTAGTGTGAAGGGAAGGTATAAAGGGCGGATACGATGGTTGGCAGTAAATCTGCGAACTTACTTCTTTTACTAGTCCAGCCTACTCTATCCTATCTCCCTGTTGCGGGCCTCTTTCCTTCCTCGCCCTTCTCTCGCCCTCCTCTTGCCCTCGTCGCGCCTTCCTATCACCCCCTTGTGGCAGCTGCGGAATCGCATGCGGCAGCTGGAGGCGGAGAGTGATTGAGTCCCAACCTGCCTCCTGCTCTTTTCTCGCCCTCCTCTCGCCTCTCTCTTCTCCTGGCTCTATTCACAGCCCAAGTCACTCTACGAGATCCGCCTAGAGCGGCTGAGGAAGCGCATGAGGCAGCTGGAGGAGTTCTGAGAGTCTCCTCTGTTGGCCCGCCCCTTTCACTCCCACAGCCCAAATCGCTGTACGAAATTAGGCTGGAGCGGCTGAGGAGGCGCATGCGCCAGCTGGAGGCGGAGAACCTCCACGTGGAGGCGCTTGCGGCTAGGCGGCAGGTGGAGGAGGAGAATGTTTGAGTTCCGTGCCGATGTAGCTTTTGTTTCGTCTGTGCGGCCCTCTCAACTCAACCTCCTCCCACCCTCTTTTCCCGCTCCTCTTCTCCATCCGTTTTTTCTGCTTTCACAGCCCAAATCACTCTACGAGATCCGCCTGGAACGGCTGCGGAAGCGCATGCGGCAGCTGGAGCAGGAGAACCTCCACGTGGAGGCGCGCCATTGGACGATGCGCGGCGAGGTGACAGCTGGCAGCCGCCCGAAGAACAGCGCGCTGGCGGCCGACCTGGACTTTGAGCACGCGGCCCGGCCGGCGCCCGTGATTACAGAGGAGGTGACTCAAACGATTGAAGAGATCATCAAGAGGAGAATTCTTAATGTGAGTCATGTGTGGGTGGATGGTTGGGTGGGTGGGTGGTGTGTGGGAGGGTAGGTGGATGGGTGGGTGGAAGTGGGGGCCGAAGGGTTCTGCACTTGATTTTTGAGAATTCTTAAAGATCACTGGCCGGAAGGGTTCTGCACCAGTATTTCTTGCTGCTATGCTGCACATCCACCCATCCTCGTCTCCCCTTTTGTCCCGCCTCCTTCCCCGTGCTTGTCCACGTCAGCAACAATTCGATGACGTGGAGCGTAAGGCCAAGCCCGTAGCGACACCTGTCAAGGGGAGATTGGAGCTGGTGAGTGGCCTGCCTGCCCCGTGCTTCTACTTGTTTTTTAAGAATTCTAAAAAAACCGCTTCTGCGTCTGCTTCTGTGTCGTACCACCCTGTCACTCCAGTTGAAATCCACTGCCTGACATTCCTGTGTATCCGTTCCTCCCGTGCCCGCCCGCGCACATGACCCTCCACCCACCCATACCCCTGGCAGGACGACAGCCCCAGCCCAGCGCGCAGGGACTCGCAGAGATCTATGAGGCTCAGTTCCTCAAGGCTTTTATTCACCGTGTGTTGCCACACTGTCACTCTCCCCTGTCACATCACATCTGTGCCCCTGTGTGTCTATCCATCCGTCCCCCCCCACCCCACCTATGCTCCTGGCAGGATGACAACCCCAGCCCAGCGCGCAGGCACTCGCAGAGATCTATGAGGCTCAGTTCCTCAAGGCGGCTGGTCGAGCGTCCCTCCCATTCTTTTATTCAACCCGCTTCCCCCTCCGCCTCTTCGCCACCTGTGCCCCTACCTACCTTTGAGGCGCCTCAAAAGTCGCCACCTGTGCCCCTACGTACCTCCAATCGTGGCCCTCTCCTGGCAGGATGACAACCCTAGCCCAGCGCGCAGGGCCTGGCGGAGATTTACCGCAAAGGGAGAGCCTTGAGATTTACAAGGCCCAGTTTCTCTAGGCTCTCCTGTTGCAATGTGTTCCTTTCACTCCCTCTTGGATTCTCCATGCGTTCCCTTCTTACCCCTGGCAGGACGACAACCCCAGCGCACAGGGACTCGCAGAAATCTACGAGGCCCAGTTCCTCAAAGCGGCTGGCCAGGCCACCGAGGGCATGAGCGCCACTGATCAGATCAAACACGAGGTGGGGGAGAGCAACATCCGTTGGGGGAAAAGAGGAATGGGGGGTGGGGAAGGGGAAGGATGGTGAGAGCAGCATGGTCAGGCCCAAGAGGGCATGAGCGCAACTGAACAGATCAAACACGAGGTGCTGTGCTGGGGGGGCTGGGATGAAGGGGGTAGGGGGGAGGGTTGGGGGGAGAGGGGAGGGGGGAGGGGGGAGGGGGGAGGGTCGGGGGGAGTGGGGAGGGGGGAAGGGTGAGGTGGGGGGAGGGGACAGGTGGGTCCCTCTTTCGCCCCTCTCCTCTCCCACAGGCTGCTCGCATGTTCAAACAAACACGTATGCACTAATTTGGTCGCACATCTCCCTCCCCTGTTAACACCGTGCCCGTCTCGACCCATCCCATTGTCACCCCTCCCTTGTCCATACAGACTGCCCTTATGTTCATAATAAGCACCTCTGCAACAAACTTGACGCGCTCTCACACTCCCGCATTACCCTTCCCACCACACCCCTGTTACCCGCCCCCTGTCACACCTGTCACTCCATGCAGGCAGCGCGCATGTTCAAGCATCTGTGCACCAAACTTGACGCACTCTCACACTTCCACTTTGCTCCCAAGCCGGTACGTCTCTTATCCCTCCCACGATACACGCCTCACCCCTCCCACTCTACATGCTAAATTCGATTGACAACCTTAATGCACTATGTGATGTGACTCTATCAAATGTTATACTGTGCTCGCGACCCCCCCACTCCTCTCCTTGCCCCTTCCCTCCCATCAGATCATGGACGACATTGACGTCACAGCCAACGTGCCTGCCATTGCCATGGAAGAGGTATGTCTGGTGGAGGTATGTCTGGTGGAGGTATGTCTGGTGGAGGTATGTCTGGTGGAGGTATGTCTGGTGGAGGTATGTCTGGGGGAGGTATGTCTGGGGGAGGTATGTCTGGGGGAGGTATGTCTGGGGGAGGTACACCTGGTGGAGGTACACCTGGTGGAGGTACACCTGGTGGAGTGGTGTGTGTGGCGCTTGTGGTATCTCCTGTGCTCACCTCGGTGCTCCCCGCTTCACTTCTCTGGTTCCGCCGCCGTTAGTCACACTTCTCCTCCCGGTTATCAATGTCACCTGCCTTCGATCCCGCCTCCTCTTCTACAATCCCCCTTCCTCTTGACGCTCCTCTCCCCCAGGTGGCGCCAGTGGCAGTGTCAACAGCCAGCATGCTGGCGCCAGAGGAGGTGTTTGCGGGGGGGGAGGAGGGCGTGGGGGCGGGCGGGGGGAGGAGGGGGAGTGCGCGGGGGATGGTGAAGGGCGAGGGGGAGATGGAGCGGGAGGACCGGAAGCGACTGCGCAGCAAGCTCAAGCGCAAATGGAAGGGTGAGTGGCAGGCGGAAACACAGAGATGTATTGTTCAGTCTCGCGAGCAAGCTCAAGTGCACGTGACGTGCAAAGGTAGGTGATTGTGAAGGGCGAGGGGAAGGAGGGGGAGCGCGCGGGGGATGGTGAAGGGCGAGGGGGGAGGAGGGGGAGTGCGCGGGGGATGGTGAAGGGCGAGGGGGAGATGGAGCGGGAGGACCGGAAGCGACTGCGCAGCAAGCTCAAGCGCAAGTGGAAGGGTGAGTGTTGGTGCTGCTTCTTGTGCTTCTCGTTTGTTGGGATTGATGTTGGCCCCTGTGGGCGCTCCCCTCGGTCCCTATTCTGTTTAAACTCTTCCGACATATTTCCCCTCTTGCCGGCCCTCGCTCTTCCTCTGCTCCTTCATCCCCTTGTGCTTGTGCAGGAGAGAAGGCCGAAGACCAGAAAAGCTCGCAGGCAGTCTCTGTAGCAGCGTCTTTCGGTCAACTCAAAAGCCATGTCCCCTTCCCCCTGCCCTCACTTATCCCTCTTGTGCTTGTGCAGGAGAGAAGGCCGAGGACCAGAAAAGCTTGCAGGCAGTCCCTGGCACGGCATCTGGTGGGGGTGGTGGTGCTGCTGGCGGTGGTGCTTTTGAGTCGACTCAAAAGCAGATCCTTCCCCTTGTGCTTGTGCAGGAGAGAAGGCCGAAAACCAGAAGAGCACACAGGCAGTCCCTGGCGCAGCATCTGGTGGGGGTGGTGCTGCTGCAGGCAGTGGTGGGCGCAAGATACGTGTGGTGGAGAGAGGGCAGCAGAAGCAGGGCCTATCAGATTTCACCAATTCAGCAAAGGTACGTCCTTCTTACCTGCCCGGTCCTGCCATGTTTTTCTTTCTGCATCTTTCAACTGCTCTCGCTTGTGCTGCTTGTTCCCGCTCTTTTCTGTCTTTTTGCTGCCTTTTTCCCCTTTTTTTCCCACACCACAGCGATTTCAACTCGCATCCACAACACCGTTGGAGCATCTGCCAGCATGAAGTGCTGTCACTGTGATTTGAGGTGTTGCATTCACCCTCTCTCCTCTCTCACCCCCCACAGGTCTTCACGCACATCCAGGACATGAGAGCATCTGGCAGCAAGAAGCAGCGGGCGGCAGTGCCATCGCAGCACGAGCCGCAGCAGATTCGGGCGGCGGCACTCAAGCTGTGATGAGGAGTGTTCACCGCCACGAGCAAATGGGTCATCATATGTCGTTTTCTTGTATGAAGTTCACAGCAGCAACAAATGGTTCTGAGCAGCAAGAACTGCAACAAATTGGGGTAATGGCATTCCGCGACAAGAAGAATTATGCTGTTCTCGTTATGCTGCTTCCCACAGGCCTCTCCTTTAGTGCTGATGCACACGTCATGGACATGTATCCCACGCTATAACACAGTGCAAGCTGGAAAATAAATTGATGATGTGTAAACAAGCACATAGTGAGGTAGACCAGGCTACAACAATGTGTTCTAGCTAAAAACCCACAGCCAGCCAGCCAATGCAAACAAACGCCCCTATACTAAAGAAGTGCATCCCTGGTCTTGCAGCATGCAAGGGACCTTCGGCACATCTGTCAAATGTTGTAGCCTATAGTGAGGTTTGTCTTAGGGGGTACAAAACTTAGGGTTAGCTATATGTACCCCAACCAACATCAATGCATCATCCATTCTTCATTCTGACATGGTATCAGTTAGGTTAGGATCCTGTGGGATCCCGTTCCTCCGTTCTCCGTTCGAGCCTCCCGAGCCTGATCCTAGCTCTCATTCGTCCCGGTTCCGTTGTTACCGCGCGTAGTGCCGAGCCTAGCGCCAATCCTAGCGCCCGTCCGCGCCACCCGTTCCCCTCGTTCCGTAGCGCCCGCCCTTACCCCCCATCGCGTCGCGTTCCCCCCCCACGTCGTGTCGCGCCCGTTCCCCCCGTCGCGTCGCCGCCCATTCCCCCCGTCGCGTCGCACCTTTTCCCCCTAGCGTCGCGTCCTGCCCGCCCTTTCCCCCTCGTCGCGTCCCTTTCCCCCCGTCGCGTCCTGCCCGCCCTTTCCCCCTCGTCGCGTCCCTTTCCCCCCGTCGCGTCCTGCCCGCCCTTTCCCCCTCGTCGCGTCCCTTTCCCCCCGTCGCGTCCTGCCCGCCCTTTCCCCCTCGTCGCGTCCCTTTCCCCCCCGTCGCGTCCCGCCCGTCCTTTCCCCTCGTCGTGCCCCTTTCCCCCCGTCGCGTCCCGCCCGTCCTTTCCCCCCCGTTGGGTCCCTTTCCCCCCGTCGCGTCCCGCCCGTCCTTTCCCTCCGTCACGGCCCGCCCCTTCCCCTCCTGTAGCGGCCCGCCCATTCCCCTGTAGCGGCTCGCCCCTAAACCCAGCCCGTCGTCTTAACCCTAGCCTGCTCTTCCGCTGCCACTGTATCCCTAGCGTTAGTTCTCGCTATGGCGACTCCGCGTGTGCTTCGTTTCGACGCTGACGGTAGACCTCTTGATTTTTCCGTCTGGCTTCTTCGTGCTCGCCGTCTGTTAGAGAGTCAGGTCCAGGCAGGCGAGACCCTCTGGGCGCACGCTACTGGTGCCCTACCTGCGCCCCCCGACCCTACGCCTTTAGGACCTGCCCCTGACGAAGCCGCTAGAGCCCGCTTTGCCACTCAGCGAGCTGACCAGACGGCTTGGACGTCACGTGACGCTGCGGCCTGCATCGCGCTCAGCAGCCTCCTCCCTGAGTCTGAGGAGGTTCACTTCACTCAGGTTCGCACCGCTGCTGAGTACCTCACTGCGATTAAGGCCCGCTACTCTTCTCCCGCTGCTGTCTCTCTTGGCCGCCTGTTCCTCCCGTTCCTGTTTCCTGACCTAGCGTCTTTTGAGCGCTCTGCTGACTTGATCGCTCACCTCCGCTCGCTCGACGCTAGTTACCGCGCTGCTTGCACTGAGGCACAGCTTGCACTGCTTCCTCCCCCTATGGCGATTACTATCTATTTCATCGCCACTAGCCTCCCTGACCGCCTTGCCTCCGTTCGCGACGCGCTTCTGCTGAAGCACCCTAGTGAGCTCACCGTCGATGTCCTTGAGTCTACACTCAAGGACGTCGAGAGCAACCTTCGCTCGGTAGCCGCTGCCTCTGGTGCTGTGCCCCCCCCACTCTTCCACGGGTGCACAGTCCCGCAGTTACCCACCTTTACTGCCTCACTTGCCACTGCCGCTACTGACGCGACTGCAGCTGCTGTTACGACTGCGTCGCGGTCCCGCGGTAGGAGTGGCAAGAAAGGCGGTTCTGGTGGTGGTAGTGGAGGTGGCGGTGGAGGTAGTGGAGGTGGCGTTGCGCCTGGCGGCGGTGGAGGTTCAGGGTCTGGAGAGGCGCCTCGTGCAGTGACTGGTGACTCCACTGCGCCTGCTAGTGGTGGCGACGCCCGAGTTCGTCAGTCGCCTCCTGTACTTCCTGCCCCGGTTGGTGGAGCAGCGGCGTGGTACCAGGCTCAGCGTCAGCAGCAGCTTCTGCAGCACCAGCAGCCCCTCTCCTCCCAGCAGCCTCAGCAGCAGCAGCGGCAGCAGCTGGCTCCAGGGTCGGGGCTGCGTCAGACCCAGCGTGGTACTGCTTACACTCCCTGCACCTACCAGGTTCTGACAGGCCCTCGTCGTGGCCACCCTTGTGGCCGGTTTCACCCCCCTGGTCAGTGCTTTGCTCAGCTCACTGACACGGTTCGTTTGGTCTACGGGGTTGGTGCTCCTGCCCCTGACTGGCTGCCTCTTGTTCAGCGCTACGGCTCCGCTCTGTGGGGCATGTCTGCTGAGCAGTTAGTTGATCTGATTGGTACTCCCCATGCTATGTATGCTGTTGTTGACTCTAGTGTTTCTGACTCTGCTTACTCTGGTGTTGTTAGCTTAGGTGCTAGCCTTGCTCAGTTGCCTGTTGCTAGTGTAGGTTCTTGTGTAGACTCTAGTCCAGCGGCTACCTCAGACGACGGTTTGCTGTCGTTCACGCTGGACTCTGGAGCCTCTCACTGCTTCTTTCGTGACAGCACGACACTTACGCCTCTTCCTGCGCCTGTTTCTGTGGCGCTGGCTGATCCCACTTCGGGACCAGTCACCGCGCGTCACACTACCACCTTGCCGTGTCCGGCTGCTCCTTCTGGGTCTCTCACTGGGTTTCACGTCCCCTCGTTCTCCCGGAACTTGGTGGGCGTGCGACCCCTCGTGAGTCAGCACGTGGGTGTGTGGTTTGAGCCTTCTGGAGAGACTGCGGTGTGTGTTGACGGGGACTCTTACCAGCCCCTCGCCACTTTTGCTGCTGAGCCAGGCTCCGGTCTCTACACTCTTCACACTGGCCCGCGCGCTCAGCAGCAGCAGCCGCAGCAGCAGCAGCCGCAGCAGCAGCAGCAGCAGCGGCAGCAGCCGCAGCCGCAGCCACAGCGGCCGCCGTCGCAGCAGCCACTCCTCCCAGTTCCTGTCCCTCCCCCTAGTCTCCTCCCTGCGTCTCACCAGGTGGTTCCGTCCCCTCAGGTTGTCGCGTCTAGTCCAGTCGCTGCGTCTTGCTCCTGTCGGTCGCTTGCCCACCCCACCGTTCTGTGGCACCACCGGATGGGGCACCCTTCTCTTCCACGTCTGCGTGCTATGTCTAGTCAGCGTCTGGTCTTAGGTCTCCCGCGTGTCTTGCCGTCGCTGCCGCCGTCCCTTGCACCACCGTGCGGTCCTTGCGTCGAGGGTAGGCTGCGCGCCACCCCTCACTCCTCCTCCCTTCGTCCGGCCACCGAGCCTTTTGAGACGCTGCACTTGGACGTCTGGGGCCCCTCTCCTCGCCCTGGCCCTGAGCGTGAGCGTTTCTTTTTGGTGGTCGTTGACGACTACTCCCGCTACACCACAGTGTTCCCCCTGGCGAGGAAGTCTGAGGTGACTTCTACGCTGATCAGGTGGTTGCTTACCACCCAGGACACTCGTGGTCGTCGTGTCAGCTGTCTCCACTCCGACCGCGGGGGCGAGTTTCGCTCCGGCATTCTCGCTGGATTCTGTCGCGAACAGGGCATTCGTCAGTCCTGGACGCTTCCGGAGTCCCCACAGCAGAATGGGGTTGCTGAGCGTCGCATAGGCCTGGTCATGGAGATTGCCCGCACCTCCTTGACTCACGCCCGTGCCCCCCATTTCCTGTGGCCATACGCAGTCAGGTACGCCGCGCACCAGCTGAACCTCTGGCCACGCGTCTCTCGGCCGGAGGCTTCACCGACCAGTCTTTGGACAGGGTCCCCTGGTGTCGCGTCGAGGTTTCGTGTCTGGGGGTGCTTGGCTCTTGTCCGCGACACCTCCGCGGACAAGCTCTCGCCTCGCGCCGTTCCTTGTGTCTTCCTTGGTTTCCCTGAGGACTCCTCTGACTTCACCTTTTACCACCCTCCCTCTCACCGGTTCTTTGACTCCCGTGACGTCCGTTTCGAGGAGTCCACCCCGTACTACGTCAGGTACCCCAGTCGAGGTCTCCCGGTTCCTCCTCCCCCCCTCTTCCTGACAGCCGCTCCCCCGCCTGCTCCCCCGGTACAGCCTCCCCCCCCTGGTCCAGCCCCGTCTGGTGTGTCTCAGGCTAGCCCTCCCCCTTCGGTAGCCCCCCCTGTACAGCCTCCCTCCCCACAGTCTTCCTCACCGCCTCCTGTAGGTGCTCCCTCTCGGGAGGTTGGTCCTGCGACTGTCCCTGTACAGGTCTCTGGTTCTGGGGGTGCTGGAGTTGGAGCTGAGCCGCGGGTTGCAGAGGACTCTTGTCTTCCGGGGGCTGGTACTGGTCGTGCGGAGTCTGGGGGTGCTGGTGCGGAGTCTGGGGGTGCTGCGTCTGGGGGTGAGGGTGTCCCTTCGGTTTCTGGAGAGCCTGGGTCTGGAGCTGGTGTTGGTGCTGCCTCTGGGGGTGGTGTGCTTGGTGCTTCGGAGGTCGACTCTGGGGCTGCCGCTGCCCCGGACACTACTCCTTCCCCCCACCCCTACCCGACCAGGTTCCAGGCTCGTGTTCGCCGTGCTCGTGAGGAGCAGCTGGAGTTGGAGAGAGAGGAGAGAGAGTTGCAGCGGCTCGAGGAGCAGGAGCGACAGCAGCAGGAGCAGCAGCAGGAGCAGCAGCAGAGGCAGCAGCCGCTGGAGCAGCAGCAGCCGCAGCAGCAGCAGCAGCAGCAGTTGCCGTCTCCTCCTCCTGTCTCGGGTCTTCGGACCCTTGGTCTCCCCTCTCCCTCTCCTTCCTCCTCCCCCTCTCCTCCCGTCTCTGGTCCTCCGCTTCCTCCTCCTGACCCCTCTCCCGCTGTTTTCCCTCGTTCTCAGTCTTCGTTGTCCCCTCCTCCTTCTCAGACTTGGGCCTCTCGTCGCTCCCCTCGTGCTCGTCCCTCGTCTCCTGTTCCCTTCACTGACCTTCGTACTGCCTTACTTCGTTCTAGTCCACCTCGTCCGTCTCCGTCTGTGCTTCCGTCTCCTCCTGAGTCGGCTCTCACTGCGTCGCTTCCTACTCCTGTCACTGACTACTACCGCACGTACCGTCCTCTTCTCTCTCGTGTTCTCGCCTCGCTTGTTACTCACCCTCGTGCCTCTGTGTCCTCTGTGTCCGCTCTTACTGCCGCAGTCACTGACTTTGCCTCTACCCGCCGCCTTGACTTCGCCACCGCTCTTGTGGCTGCTCCTCCTTCCAGTCCTCTGGCCGTCGGGGGTGTGTCTGCCCTTGGCTGTGACGCCCTAGAGGACAGGCAGTTTGAGCTAGAGTTCCTGGCGGTCGCTTCCCCTCATCTCTGTGCCATGCTCCTCGCCCCTGAGGGTGACCCCGACGCCCTTGACATTCCGACTCCTCGCACTTACGCTGAGGCAGTGTCAGGGCCTTGGGCCTCTCAGTGGAGAGCTGCCATGGACGCAGAGATGGCCTCCTACAGATCCACAGGCACCTACGTCGATGAGGTTCCCCCTCCGGGGGCGAACGTAGTCGACGGCATGTGGATCTACAGGGTGAAGCGGCCACCGGGATCTCCTCCGGTCTTCAAGGCGCACTACGTGGCTAGAGGTTTCAGTCAGCGCGAGGGAGTTGACTTCTTTCAGACCTTCGCGCCCACCCCGAAGATGACCACTCTTCGGGTGTTACTACACGTAGCAGCACAGAGAGACTACGAGTTACACTCTCTCGACTTCTCTACTGCTTTCCTTCAGGGCAGTCTTCACGAGGAGGTCTGGTTGCGTCGTCCCTCTGCCTTCACTGGCTCTTTCCCTCCTGGGACCCAGTGGAGGCTGAGGCGACCGGTTTACGGTCTTCGTCAGGCTCCTCGTGAGTGGCACGACACCCTGCGTTCTACCCTGTCTGACCTTGGGTTCCAGCCGTCTTCTGCTGACCCGTCGCTGTTCGTTCGTCGTGGCCCCACACCTTTCTTTGTTCTGGTCTACGTTGACGACCTTGTTTTCGCCACCCCTGACAGGGTTGCTTTGGCACACGTGAAGTCCGAACTGCAGAAGAGACACACCTGCACTGATCTTGGTGAGCTGCGCCACTACCTTGGCCTGCAGATCACCAGGGACAGAGCTGCTCGCACCATTACACTTTCACAGTCGCACATGGTGCAGCAGGTCCTTCAGCGGTTCGGGCTTCAGCACTCCACAGTACAGCGCACACCTCTTGCTGTTGACCACAGACTCACTGGACCCTTTCCTGACGAGCCGTTCGAGCCTAGTGGTCCCTACGCAGAGCTTGTGGGTTGCCTCATGTACCTGATGACTTGTACTCGCCCGGACCTCGCCTTCCCTCTCAGCGTTCTTGCGCGCTTTGTTGCGCCAGGGAGACACCGTCCTGTTCACTGGACAGCAGCTGTGAGGGTGGCGAAGTACCTAGCGACGACATCAGGCGTGGGGCTAGTTCTTGGAGGGCAGCAGTCTGTCGTACTTACTGGTCACTGTGACTCCTCTTACGCTGACGACGCTGAGACTCACAGGTCTACTCAGGGGTACTGTTTCAGCCTGGGTTCTGGAGCTGTTTCCTGGCGGTCCACGCGCTCCTCTTCGGTCTCGACCTCTACAGCTGAGGCTGAGATCTACGCTGGTGCCATGGCGGCACAGGAGCTGCGTTGGTTGACCTTCTTGCTCACCGACCTTGGTGAGCGGCCGAGCTCTGCACCGACCTTGTTCACTGACAACAAGGCGTCTATTCTCCTTTGTCGAGAGCCACGACTGGAGAGCAGAGTGAAGCACATTCACGTCAGGTACTTTCTTCTGCGAGAGTTGCAGAGGCGTGGACAGGCTCGCTTTGAGTTTGTGGAGTCCGAGGCCAACACTGCAGACATCTTCACCAAGGCGCTTCCGCCTTGTGACCACCAGAGGTGCTGTGTGCAGTTAGGCCTTGTTGACACTGGTTCTCGTGTTGCTTAGACTTGAGTGTACTGTTTACTTTGCTTTCTATATATCTCTGTTACTTCTTGGACTGGCCTTGTGGCCACTGTTGTTTGTGCTCAGACTGTGTGGTGACGTTGTGATCCACCCTGAGCCTTGTTTCTTGGACTGGTCTTGTGACCGTACTCGTTTGGTTCTGTTAGACACCCCTCACTTAGGCTATGGGGGTGTGTCAAATGTTGTAGCCTATAGTGAGGTTTGTCTTAGGGGGTACAAAACTTAGGGTTAGCTATATGTACCCCAACCAACATCAATGCATCATCCATTCTTCATTCTGACAACATCCCAGTCTTCTCTTCCACACCTTCATCATCCTTCGGTTCACAATCACATTCGACCATGTAGAACGTCCTTCATTATTCAAGTACCTATGGAGCTACCATACCGTACGTACTTGAGCAGAGAAACATAGCTACCATACATACTAAGTGGAAAATCCTCAGAGGTGCAGGGCAAGGTCCAGCACTGGCGACGGTCCAGAAAGGTGCTGAGCAGTGGAGGGCGGTGGTTGTTGTAGCTCCCCACTAGCACTCTCAAAACTGCCACTCTCCAGGTATGTATCACCCCCTGAGGAGCAAAAAAGGTCCAACTCCAATAACTCAACCTCCTCCTTCCCATTCTTCCCATCCTTGCCATCCTTCTCATTCTTCACATTCCGTCTTGCCTCTTGCTCGTCCTTCTTCGCATGATTCCCCTTCGTCACAATAGGTGTCGCGTCGCAGGCAGCCATGGCTGAATCTGAAGCTCGCGAACCAACACCCCTGCTTTCTGAGCGTGCAGCCACGTCAGCATCAGACTCATCCGATGACATGGAGCCGGCGTTTGTCCCTGCTGCCACGTGGGACAGCTTTTGCCTCTTTATCCGGCCCAGCTCCTGCAGAATATTCGCCAGAAGTGTAGCTCGCTCCTGGTTCGTGGGCCGACTCTGGTTACCACCGCTCTGGTTACTGCCATTCTGGTTACCACTCTGGTTGCTGTTCTGGTTACCATCTTTCTGGTTACCACTCTGGTTGCGGTTCTGGTTACAATCGCGCAGGTTACCACCGCTGTGCCTCGTGTCCGCGTCAGAGCTCCCGCATCGCGTGGAGCTGTCAATACGAGTCAGCCTGGGCGGCCGCGCCGCGGACGCGTTCATCGTGCCACTCGGCTGATTTCGAATCGCCTCAAAAGCAGGCTGCTTCGGATTGCGAGTCGCCTCAAAAAAAGCGGGCTGCTGCGGCGGCGATTCCCCAACGCCAAAATCGGCCGCCCTTCTCATGCGCGGCTCGACTTTATGGCGAGAATAGAGTCCACGAAGCGGCGGATCCGGAGAGATTTCCCGACGCCGTTTTCCGCCGTTGCATATACTCGCCGAAGCGCGTTGTGCGGCCGCCTTGCCGGCGCCGCCGTCGCGATGAGCCGACTTGTGGCCGCCCAGGGCTTGAAGCGACGCGAATTTGGCGCCACAGATTGCGCACGCGAAGGGACGGCACGGCGACGCCGGCGCCGGCGGCGCAAGAGAGTGTGTGCTGCTTTGCGGAATAAAAGCCAGCTGGTTACCGCAAGCAGGGGAGCTACCATTTGCTGTTCTTGGTGACGTGTCGTGTCGCGGCTCGCCACATTGATCATGGAATGCCCCAGACGGAAAGGGGCCGGCGAAGCTCCGCCGAGCGGCTTCGAGTCGGCGTGACTCTTCCTGCGAGAAGCAGCCCGCCCCGGGCGACTCCATCGGCCGCCAGCGAGGCGCCGCGGCAGCGTCAGCAACACCATCATTATAATTATGATGGCTAACCCCGACTTTTCCGCGCCAATCTCTTAAGGCGTCCCAGAGTAACTGAGACGGAGCACGCGGCGCGGCGCTCGTTTTCATTGTCGCCGCCGACGCAAGATCGCCCTCCGCTGTCGAGAAGGAATCGAGTAGGCCATTTCCTTCGCTATCGCATCCCGCGGCGCGTCGTTGTGACGTTAACGCTGGGAGTAGAGTCGCGGCCTTCGGAAAATTGTGTGACGGAAGATTGTAGTGGGGAGCATTCGCAAGCATCAGACGAATGGAATAGGCTGATGGAACGCTTGCGGCATGCGGCGATTCGAGAAGAACAGACGTCATTTTCGCTTCGGTTATCCGCTTTTGGTCGACGAAAAGCTCGTGTGATGACTTTCTACCAGCAGGGCTGAACAGCTTAAACAAGTGGTTGAGAACGGTTGTTCGGTAGAAACTGCAGTTCCAAGTAGTTTCAAAACTATCGAGGATGGTCGACGACGGTTGAGCTGAAAGTGTTCGTCGAACTCGAAAGGACGAGATGGATCTTCTAGAAGATTAGTGAATTAAGCTCAAAATCAGTGGAGAAGATAGTTCTATAGAGAGACGGTTGTGCGGAGATATCGGGATTCATGTGTGATACAGATGTGTGATTGATGTGTGATTTGTGTGATATGCAAATCAAAACGTGTTGCAAGAGAGGAGAGGACCCGTGTGAAAACTGGTTTCGCGTCGGGCCGCGCACGCTCTACAGTCCCGCTCTGCACTTCGCCGCTGAAACAATTATCTCTGGGGAGAAATGCTGAGGGGAATTCTCGTTGCTGCCAGCTGGCGAATCCTATCTCGCCTCAGGAGAGTTGACACTTGGCATATCGCGCGTGCTAGGCAACAATGTCCATCTAGCGTGTCTGCGAAACCTGTGGTTACTAGACGCCTCCAGCGAAGGGTGCCGTGTTTACGTTCTGCCAGCATCATTGTCTACAGCCAGCTGGATTGAAGATATTTAAGAATGCCGCATGCGCCACAGATGCCACATGCCTTTGTTGACGTGAAATATGCCGACAGTAGAGAAGAAACAACTGACCAATAGCGCGCCATCACAGTCAGCCTTTCCGCCACGACGCTAATGGCGCCAGTCTTTCTGGGTGGGATGTTCATACGGCGCGGCTCGGGAAAAACCCCGCCCACGCCTTGGGATGCACGGGGCGCGGAGACATCGGGGGCAGGGCTGTCGATTCAAGGGCATATGGCCTTAATGCCCTGAACATTGGGTTGATTTTTTGTACAGCCCGGAATGATAACGGGCGTGGGCTGGGCCTTCCCCTGATTCTTACAGGGGCCTCTTGGAGGGTTTCCCTGAGGTCGTGTCCGTAGGGATGACATGTCAAAGCGGGCAGTGTCAATTTGGCATTTTGACACTCAGCCAACATTGTTGGCAGGGTGTCAAGAAATTGCATGTTGCCATCCAATACAAATCGTCGGACACTTTCTAAATTGGCACAGTCAAACCTACAAACGAGAGAAGATGGTCGCAGGTGCCTATCTCACGACCAGATGCTGCCCAATCAGCACACAATCTGTCTTTTGAATTGTTCGCTACCTGGCAGATCCACCCATGACAAATTCTCAAACCAATGAAATTCCGTCGCTGATGTTTCAAACCAATGACATGCGCTTCGACTTGACACTTCAGCTACAATGTTTGACACGCTAATTTGAATGCGCTTCGGGTTGACACGCCCTCACTTGACACGTCAAGACTACGGACACGAACTGAATCCCCACGGAAGTTCTCGGCCTTACCCGGAAACTTCCACAGCCCTCCTACCCCCCCCCCCCCCTCTCGCCCCTCCTCCCACCCAACCCTCTCCCTTCCCGTTTTCCCTGTCTGATCTTATGACCGTGAAAATGCTTGTTTACGACGTGGACTGGGCAGGTGTGTACCAGATCTTCGACGGGGAGAAGCGCCGCAAGCCTGCCACTTAGTTATTAGTGTTGAGAAAGTAGATAGGTAGAGCAGTTCTAAAATTACTCTGCCTTTATTTGTTTTCGTTATCTAGAGTTTGCCCTGATTGTTGTAGTGTAGCCCTGAATTTAAGTTTTTGGTTGGGTGCTTTCCCGGACGCTTAAAGGCTCGGAAAAGGACACTTCCCGGAGATTTCAGGGCTGAAATACGGGCACCTCAGACTCTCAAGTGTTGGCCTGGAACCAATCGACAGCCCTGATCGGGGGACGCGTGAGGCAAAGTCGGCCCTCCAGAAATCCACCAGTTTTGGACCTTGCGCGGCCCTGCGTGGCTCAGTGAAATCCACCAGGTTCCCACCGAAAGCTCCGCGCCCCCCCAGAAACCGAAAGAACCCACCTCGTTCTTACGCGCCGATGCATGCGCGACACGGGAAAAACCCTACGCGATTGGTAGGTAACTTTGACAGGCGGGGCATTCCACCCATGCAACCGCTCGATCGGAGAAAAAAGGAGTGCTACCATTGGTTGCGAAGTCCGACAACAAATCGCGAAGCGAATTCGCCCATCGATAGGCTTGGAAAGCGCGATGCGACAATCGGTTCGGAAACACCTGGCGCGATCTGGTAGGCCCCATGCTGGCTGACACGTGCAGCATTTTGAACGAGCCACACAGCTGTCGCTGTTTGGTCGAGACGCGATCGCAGTAACGTGTCATGCACGTCCACGCAGGGGCCGGTCATTACTCCCAGCAGACCCACATTTTCGCTTTCCGCACGCCAGTTGCACCACAGGCTCCTCCCTCTCATGCCACACAGGACTCACCTGACTTGACGGGAAACGGGACACTAGTGCCGCGTAAGCGATGTGGGCCGCGTACGAGAACCAGTGAGCACCACGGTCGCGTTGTACAGGTGTACACTACACACCGGTAGAGATCGCGCATCATGTTGACGCACGCGGTATATAGGAGTAGGGGCAATGTCGCGCGCTGCATGCATACCGTGAATCGCGTCGCGGCGCCAATACTTGAAGCCTCCATCAATGCTTCGGCAAACACTTCTGCGGCCCAAATCCATAATGCCGATCCGCCGAGCGCTCCCGCACATGACATGCACGCGCATATCCCCACATGGAACACCCCACACGTGCAGCCTGTGGTTTTTGGGACGCGTTTGCCCGCGTTCCATCCACAGCAACTGGTCAACGGGCTCTACCTTGCACCGCGGACGCAGATACCGTTTGCATCGTCGACGGTCGCGTTTCATGCCCAGCAGGATGATTTGAACTCGCGTGGAGTCTCCACGCCGCATCCCGGACAACCGATTGCTGAACAACAGACTGCATACGCGTCCATGCCCTCAAGCCAGCTCTTTGGGATGCCCGTGCGTGGCTTCGTAGGGCCGCAGTACGGGAATGTGGGATTCAGGAACGGGTACATCGGCGTTCAGCCAGACCCCATGCTTCACGCGCCCGAAGCTGTCGCGACGCCTCCAGTCGCGCCGTCAACCCCATTCCCCAGCGCGAATCATCCGGAAATCCAGGCACCAGTGCAAGCCCCGCGGGACCGCATAGACCCATTACTGATGGGTGTGGACACCCATGCGCGTGCAGATGGCCCTTCGACGGTCGCGGTTCCCGATGGTTCAGTGCGTGCGGAGAATGTTGGAACGGGGATGAATGCCAGCGCGCGTGCACATTCGCCGCCAATATGGAACGTGAACTCGCTGTTGCCGGGAAACCCGGACGTCCACATCCGCACCCCCGCGCAACCGACCGCAGCGGACGGTGAACAACCACAGGCGAACGCGGAGAACGCGGTACGAGGAGCGCGTGCAGGTGGAAACGCGGGTTGAGGAGGAGGGACTGGTGCAAGGGGTAACGCGGGAAGAGGAAGAGGGACTGGTGCGAGAGGGAACGCGGGAAGAGGGACAGGTGAGAGTGGGAGAGGTGCGAGAGGAAGGGGTGGGAGAGCGAACGCGGGACGTGGGACCGGTGTGGGACGGAACGGAGGTAGTGCGAACGGGCGGAGCGCGCCTGGGGTGGTAGGCAACGGAGGCAGAGGTACCGGTGGTAACGCGACCGGAGGTACCGGGAACGTGCCAGTCAGTACACCGCGAGTAAGGAGGCGGCGAGTCGAAGTCGTGCCTCACACGGCATGCCTCGGATCGCGAGAGGGGAGCGAGGGGGATAGCGATGAGGATGACGAGGAGGACGCTGACGATGAGGAAGATAGTTGGAATGAAGATGACGAAAACTACCTCTCTAACTCGTTGTCCGCGCTCAACGAGGGAGAGGAGGAAGACAACGAACGAGTGCGTGGCACGCGATCGGACTTGGAGGTTCCCATCGCGGATTGGAACAGGATAGGTGTGGACGACACGCCGGCCGCGAAAAAAGAGGTGTGCATGGGCATCTCTACGGTGTCTCTGAAGCCACGCTGAAGAAATATCGCGGTTGGGCAAGAGAGTACAAGCTCTTCATGGCGCACGAGCTGCCAAAACTGGACGCGAATAGGTTCGGTGAGGAAGCCTCGCTGGAAAACGCGAACCCCGACG